AGGCAGATTGGATCCATGCTTTTATGTCAATCATGTCAAATCACCTTTCTTCCCCATTCTGATGCTTGCTTTGAACTGCAGAAGATCATCTTGACCATGTCTACATACCTAAATGCATTTAGTTGCTGCCATGTGATTGGCTGATTAGAAATTTGCGTTAATGAGCAGTTGGACCGGTTTACCTAATAAAGTGGCCAGTGAGTGTATATTACAATATAACTTTCACCTGAACTTCAGTCTTAAATAAGTAGAATGATATATTCCCATATAATACATCCATTAAAAGACATTAAATATTACTTTACACAATGTATTGAACATGCTACATTATCTAAGCATTTGCATACTATTCAATGATTAATATAAAAAATAGAATTATATATTTACATACATTTACACAAGTGATTAAATAGATTAAATGGACTCAAAAATCTGTTTCTGATATTCATAAGTCACCGTCTGAGCACGTTGCTTGGCTCCCTAAGGAGTGAACAGAAAACCCTTGCTCTCTGTCAGTATGAAGGCACTTTTTTAGCACAGTTAATGCATCATTGACTTAACAAGGTCCACGTTGGAGGGCATTCACAATCTAAAAGATTTGGTGCCATCTAGTGGTCACAATGTTTTTTCACTTCATGCAGGGTGAAAAATGGCATCTGAGATAAGACAACAGGCCAAAGATGTCATTTGAATCCTGCCTAGACTTCTGCTAGCAGACCCATACCAAGCCTAGTGAAAGGGGTGGTTCTTTTTTCTCAAAAAGTGGACATTTTTGCAGTTATTCACCTCATTTTCTATTTAATTATGATATTTTAATACTACATTTTAGTGACATTTTAAGCACTATTTTTAGCTGGATTAGCTTGTCAGATCGTCATTATAACCACACTTTTTGATGTACCAAAATGTTACTAAAGATTTACAATAATGAGAACAATACTTATTTTTAAAAGAAAATTATTTTACATCATATATCATTAGGAAAAAATGAATCTATTACAGTTTTAGATTTGAAAATGTAGAATTTGAGATGCTGAATATAGCGTACTGTGACTTAAGACTAAATTCTGCATCCCAAATTCTGTGCTGAAAGCCAATACAGGGTTCAAATTGGTCTTAAATCCTTTTTCGATGGGTTATTTTCACAATTTATTATGACTTAGCAGTCAAAATAGGACAAATGAGCTCATGCATGGAACGAATTCTGGACTTTTGTCAGTGAGGGATGGGACTTTGAAACCACCCCAACACCCCCCTGACTACAGGCCTGGCTAGTATGTTTCTACAGTATATAAGATCTACCATGATCTTGAAGAAGAAATATTAACTCAAACATCATGAGGTTTTACATAAAAATGTACAATTGTAATGATTCAATAGAATAAGAGTAACAATAAGCTGTCTGGAGACACACAAAATGATCTTTGGTTCCATCAAGTAACCACTAATGCATAATAAGCATTTGGTTTTATACAGTTGCTATTAATATGCAGTATTTGCACAGTTTAACTCACTCACTAAACTCAGTTGAGTTCATTTGTGCTTGTTTCAGTCTAACATCAGTCTTTTCTAGGCTTGGTAATGTGAGCTCATTTGATTGTGTTTGGTTTGATTTGATCAGATTTGTTTGCCTTTGTTTTGTGTGGACTGTTTTACCCTGTATAACCAGACCTTTTTTCTAGGTTACACAATATCTTAATTGCTATGGTGGTTGCATGTTAAATCCATCTTGTTTAACTTAGCTTATCAAGGTTTTTATGTTTTTAGGTTTCCTTCCTGTTGTCCTCCTTTACCCTATTTGATTTGGCTTGGTTTAGCATGGTTTACTGCGGTTTGATGTGTGTGTGTGTGTATTGTTTCCGTGTCTGTTGGTGTTGTACATTGAAACACAGAACAGCGCAGCTCAGCGATATGACAGATGGCCGAGTATCTCTGTGAAATTTAATAACTTCATTCTCCATTCAGTCCCTCCACCGGCCAGAGTCCATAAGTAATCTCCATGACTCAATCTCTCAGATTTAAATCCTAACAGGAAAAATAATGTGCCTATGTCCATTTCAGGATGCTGGTGTGACATGGTGATGCAGAATATTGATAGGATGAGATCCAGACAGTCAAGAGTCTTCAGGTTTTAACAATCATACAAATAATAACTGCCATATAATGTAACACTTCAATAAAGAACTAATAAATTAGTCTAAGAAATGTAAAATGATTTATAATAACCCAAAATTGTTTCCCAGTAATGGGTTGCTGCTGTAAGGGCATTCACTGCGTAAAACATATCCTGGAATAGTTGGTGGTTCATTCCGCTGTGGCAACCCCTGATAAATAAGGGACTAAGCTGAAGGAAAGTTAATGAATGAATAATCCAAAATAACTCAAGTATATGAGCAATCTTGAGATGTAGGTATCTGAGGACTGAGTTTATAAGCTTAAAGAATAAACAAATGTATTCATTATGTAATTTAGCAACATTTTACAAGATCCTATTAAGCATTTTTTATGTTTTTAAAAATGTTTGATAGATATTTAATAGACATCTTAACATAGACAGCTTGGGTGGAGCCTAGAGGAAACAAGGCTTAATCTGGGCTGTCAATGAAAATCTAATAGACGTCTAATAATAGCCTAAAACTAGACTAATCATCAAATACACTGAAATGAATGACTGCACATGTAAAGTGTGTCTAATCTGTGTATTTGATGACTAGTGTTTAGTTTTAGGCTATTCTTAGACGTCTATTGGATTTTCACCGAAAAGTTAGCCTTGTTTTAGCCAAGACATCTATGTTTAGATGTCTATTAGACGTCTATTAAACACAATTGCTTGGTGGGATGTTACTTCTAGGTGAAGTCAGATTAATATATATTTTTAAATAATGCCATGTGTATATATAAGTAGCATAAGCTAGTAATATGAATATGATACAAGTACATCATTTAGTATTCATAATAATTATTATTAATTATGAATCAGTTAATATAGAAAATATAACAACATTAGAAATGTCTATAAACCACATGGTAAGGGATTATCTCATTTGGTTTATTTAGTCAGTATGTTAATTGATTTCACACACCTCCTACATGAAATGTTAATATTTATAATGTTCCATTATCACATTTGCACATTCAGTCTTGACAGATTTCATCATTGTGTGATGTCTGAATGGGAGTCTTTTGATGAAAAGCTTTCTGAAGCATTCTCTAATGCTTTCAAAAGCACATCACACATGTCATTAGGTTTTTGCTCTGGCTTCCAGTTACATTCAGAATAGATTTTAAAGTATTACTACTAGTCTATAAATCACTAAATGGCCAATAACCTCAATACATTACAGATATGCTCACTGAATACAAACCTAACAGATCACTCGTCATTAGGATCAAGTAAATTTGAAATTCCAAGAGTTCAGTTAAAGGTGCAGTAGTTGATCTTCCACAATGCTAATAGCTTAGCATAAATCTCTGAATCACAGTCCCACCCCTGTCATCCAGAGCCACGCCTCCTGAAACAGGAGCACGCGCACCTTAAAGATAACAGCAGAACCCTCTCTTATGTGTTAAAAGCAACTAGTGCTTGTCCGGCGGAGTGCAGGAATTACACTCATTACTAAGCCAAACTGACATGCTATTTCAGAGCGAATTTTCAGAGTAGCATGGTAAACAATATAAGGACAGCGTCACAGATCATCATTGTTCAAAAATGAACCAATGTGATGTGAATATAAAACCATTTTCACCTCAGTAAAGCTGGCTAGGTGGAATAGTGCTATTTACTGATGTTTTGTTGTCAAACTAAATAAAATCTACATTATCGATGCTGTAAAATAACCTTATGAAAATGAAAACGGTCACATCAATCTTTTACCGGAAGATTTTAGTGGCTGAACAACATGTCTGTGCTGATATAACCCATTTGTAACAACAACATCTAACGTTACATCAGCTTTGCATGAAGCTAAAATAATTTTAAAACAGAACATACCTGTCTAAAAGAAATCCTTCAGCCAGGGGGTCGTCCTTTCTCCAGCATGCAAAGGTAACTCCAATATTGATCCAGGTTTTGATTCAGCATGTTTTTACCAATCGCACACACGCGCTCTCTCTCTCTCGATCTCTCTCATGAGCGCGCAATGCACAAACGGCAGAGCTGCGTACAAACGGCCGCTTGACATACAGTTTGGGCTACTTATCGGAATTATGAGAGATGTATTTAATTGGATGAACATTTTTTAGTTTTATGCGTCATCCAGAATATAAAAATACGTATAAGTACATTTAGATCATTTATTTTAATCAATACTATTGGAATGTAAAGAGACTTTTAACCGGCACAACAAAAAATGTTTCTAAAGACAATCTCCTAGTGCACCTTTAAAGCAGGGTGAATCAGCCTTCAGCCACTGCGCCCCCCGCTGCTGAAGTCAGCTTTCAGAAATGATCAGATGTGCTCCAACATTAGGCACATTGAAATCTAGACTGAAAAAACATTTGTTTAGCTGTGGCTTTAAGGAATGAGCACTGTGCTACGTTCGACAGATCACACTATTATATCTTCCTTTTCTTTTTCATTCTTTTGTAACCTGTTGTGACACATTTGATTCTGTTTTTTTCTGTTTTATTCATTTTTAATTCTTTCAATCATTTTTATTTTCCTGTTTCTTTTATTCTTGTTTATGTAAAGCACTTTGAATTACCATTGTGTATGAAATGTGCTATATAAATAAATTTGCCTTGCCTCTTTTTACCAATTCCAAATTAACATTTCACTCTGGTCAAAAGACTTAAACGTGTGTAACAGTAAAAGCTGTGATGTGGATTTTTGTTGATCAAATAGTAACATCATAGTACGAATGACATCAAGGCTATGAGCTTAATTCTGAGGAAATGCATGAACTGATAAAATGTATACCTCGAACGCAATGCAAGTTGCTTAAGATAAAATCGTCTTGTAAATGCTGAAATGTAAACCCCTGTCTCTCTTTTTTTCCCAGGTGTTTGCCATCTTTGCGTTCTCCACCTGTGGGAGTTACTCCGGCTCCTTCAGGATGAGCGTGGAGTGCAAGAACAGATCCGACAGTAACCTGAAAATAGACGTTGACTTTGAGTATCCCTTCAGGTATTTTTCTTTCCAGGATTATATATTTTATTTTATTTTATTTGTATTTTGTTTTTTATTATTATTCGTAATTCTAATGGTTGGAAAGAAATATATGAAAATGGCCTTTTTCCTATGTTTGAAAATTAATGTTGCATATATGATATATATTTATACATGTGAAATCTAAATATAAATTGTATGTTATATTTGTCAGCTGCATACATTCCCATGTATCAGATTTCTATATTGGACAATGTACTCCAGATTAGGTTAAATATCTTAACACTGTTCCTCCTGCACCTCTTCCAGGCTCCATCAAGTGTATTTCAACGCTCCTACCTGCAAGAATGGCCAGTCCGATCGTTTCTTCCTGGTTGGTGATTACTCCTCTTCAGCAGAGTTCTTCGTCACCATCGCCGTTTTCGCATTTCTGTACTCCATGGCAGCTCTCAGCATCTACATATTTGCCTTTGAGAAGTACAGAGAGAACAATAAAGGACCACTAATCGTGAGTTGATTGTGAGACATAAACATTAAGTTATATGTACAGTGCTCAGCACAAATGAGATCTCTCTTTTAAATGAATGCTTTTTATAGGAAGCTACAGTACACAATAATATATCTGTGTATATACATTAGATAAGTGAGTACCAAAGCCAAAATTATAAAATCTATAAAGCTTGTGATCATAGTCAAAACATTTGTACACCCAAATGAACATGTTGGGGAAAAAAATATTAGATTAAATTTTAATAAACAGGAAAAATCTTTAACAAATATATACAATTTTGTGGAAATTTTGTCGTTTGTAAATGTTTTGTAATAACTTATTTGTATTGAAATGTGGCATTACTATGTGGAGTTTGCAAGTATTTCCCGTGTTCGTGTGAGTTTTTCCCCAACAGTCCAAAGACATGCGGTACAGGTGAATTGGGTAGGCTAAATTGTCCATAGTGTATGAGTGTGTATGGGTGTTGCCGCCAACGGATAAGTTGGCGGTTCATTCCGCTGTGGCGACCCCTGATTAATAAAGGGACTTAGCCAAAAAGAAAATAAATGAATGAATGCATTTCCTCATTTAAATTAAAGGGCCATGAAACCCCCTCGTTTCAGCAGGGTGTTTTCACACCTCTACTTTGGAAAAAGTCAGAAAAGTGGGCGTGTCCAGCTCTGTTTAGGGGGGAGTGTCGGAGGAAGAAAAGCGGCTTGGTATGAGAGTGTCTATTTGGGCGCGCTGAATTTCAGAGTCAAAACACACACCCACAGCGGACAATGTGACTGTGTTTACATGGACATCTGTAGTCGAATTATTTGCCAAATTATTAAATGGTGGACTTTAACTGCAGTTTGGCTCTTTCATTCAGGAAATTTATTAATGTCCCTCCCGACAAACGTGATATTTGATTCGAGGAACAGCTCTAAGCGTGTATTTTTTATGCAATGTTTGATACCGCACGGCGAATGAGAGAAAAAAACTCAGCATTTCCCGAAAACTTAGATAGATACACACGGCAGGTAGCGTCAGAAAGCCGCGTGTGTTATTCCGGTCACAAAATCCAACACGAGGTTATAGTTTGGTTGTAACGGTTAGTGCTAACTATTGCACTCGGTGCAATAGTTTGTTTGATACGAATAAAATACGAACTGAATAAATAAAGAGCACTGGTCGCTCACTTACCAAATCTGTAGAGACAGGACAATCACCAGCAACTAGAGCCGCGTCTTTATTTAGAGGAGACTACAATCTCAGCGTTTGCAGATGAGAACAGCTCTCAGGTAAACAATAATCCTCCTTAGACACGTAAGTTATTGTTGTCGCGCGTCGATTACACTGTTAATCTACGCGTGAGTCTGCACTCTCACAGAGAGAAAATTAAAACAAAACTTAACTGCAGCAAACTATAAAAGCAACATTTCACGCTTGTTTTGCCAACACAACGTGGCGTCTTTGCCGTCCACACTGTGACAGTAATGAATATTAATGAAGTTGCACAATAGAGCGCGCTGATTGGTTTGAACCAAGCTTTACTCATGCATTAATGCAACACACTGTAAGACGTAATAAGACTCACTCTGGCACAGACGCCCAGTCTACACGCTGGAATACACGCTATTATGTCATGATCGTGACGCAGCTTCAAAAATTCGTTTCAAACAGGAAGCACGAATTTGCTTGAAATAACGCAAAAACAACTAATTTACACTTTTTAGTGAAATATAGGTGTCCTAATAGTGTTTTTAGCAGTGTGGGACACATATACGACTGTCAACAGCTCAAAAAATGTGTTTTGGTGTTTCGTGACCCTTTAAGTTATATCAAACAAACCATTATGTTAAACTATTACATTAAAACTTTATCAAGATGAATCTCACAAAAGGTAAAGTAATCTAGTTGAGAAACTTATTTTAGTAATTTAAACTGACCTAAAAACATGTGGTCATGATTGATTGATCATTTATTTTTAATAGTATGAGGGGAACTAGTGTGTGAGTGATTCCCAGTGCTAGGTTGCTGCTAGAAGGGCATCCACCACATAAAACTGGCCAGTGTAATTGGTGGTCCATTTCGCTGTGGTGACCCTTGATAAACTAGGTACTAAGCTGAGGGATAATGTTAAGTAAGTGAGTATGAGGAGAACTGAAATTAATATCTATAATATTTATGAACCTTTTTTTTTTTACTTGGGCTGCTGTTAGAAAAAAACATCTGAAAAGAAGTCATAAAATGGGATTTACCAGTGTTTTGTTTTGTTTTCTACTTTTATCTGATGTCACTTTTAGTCAAGTACAACTTTTGTTCTGGAAAATTGTCTTTGAAAAGTCTTTTAAAAATTAAAAACACATAAAACTTCCTTAATAGTTATATGGACTACTTTTGGCAATTTTTGGGGTTGTTTTTCACTTTTATTCTAAGAGCTTTTGAAAAAAATTAATTACATGATGTTTGTAAGTAATGTAACTTTAGCCAAACTATGTTGCAGCTAGGGGCGACACAGTGGCTCAGTGGTTAGCACTGCCCCCTTACAGCAAGAAGGTCGATGGTTCAAGTCCCAATTGGGCCAATTTACATTTATGTGTGAAGTTTGCAAGTTCTCCCCATGTTCGCATTGGTTTCCTTCATGTCCGAAGACATGCTGTAATAGTGAATAGGATGAACTAAACTGGCCCTAGTGTATGGGTATGTGTGTGTATGAGAGTGTGTATGAGTGTTTCCCAGTACTGTGTTGCGGCTGGAAGGGCATTCGCTGCGTAAAACATTTGCCAGAATAGTTGGTGGTTCATCTTGCTGTGGTGACCCCTGATACATAAGGGACTAAGCCGAAGGAAAATATCTATATATTATATAATATATCTATTGTATAAGCCTCTTTAATGATTGCAGGATTTCGGTGTGACATGCGTATTCACCTTCATGTGGCTGGTGAGCTCGGCAGCCTGGGCTAAGGGCTTGTCGGATGTCAAGACGGCTACCGACCCAGAGAAGGTTCTGGATCTGATCCCTGCCTGTGAAAACAGTGGCAACCGATGCCGTGAAGTTTACGACCCTGTCATGTCTGGTCTTAATACTTCTGTCGTGAGTCACTTCTGCTTAGTAAAAATATGTTTTTTTGGATTTCTTTTAATGTCTTTCTTGTGGTTCAAGCCTATTTTTTGTTCTCTCCAGGTCTTTGGCTTCCTCAACCTGATCTTGTGGACGGGTAACCTGTGGTTTGTGTTCAAGGAGACTGGGATCGTGGCACCGTTTATGCGCCAGCAGCCTGCCCAGGAGAAGCAGCCCGCCCCTGACTCCTACGGACAGGCAGGTTACGGGCAGCAGGACCCGTATGCCGGTTCCCAGGGAGGCTACCAGCCCGACTACAGCCAGCAAGGCTACAATCAGGGTGGAGACTACGGCCAGGGCGGATATGAACAGCAGGGGGCACCCACCTCCTTTTCCAACCAGATGTGAGGGAAGAAAATCTGAGGAAGCGGGAGTTAGCTGGTGAGATTTGTTTTGATGAAGTGGGATGCTTTGTTTTTAATGGTGAAAAACATATTGGGTAAAAATTGGATTGGGGTAAAAAAAAAAAAGTTTGAGATAAAGTCCTAATGAGCAAATTTCCATTAAAAAAACAGTATGACTTATTCGAATAGGACAACTGAGCTACACCTTTAAAAAACTAGCAAATATTTAGGAAGATACTGTACATCAACTAAACATGATACTGTAATTTATCAGCTTTTGACCACATATTAATTTCATAAGTCTATTTCAAAATATATTCATATTGAATTAAATGGAAAGAAATACTTTGAATGAGGGAGTATGGGTCTCATTCATTTCTCTACATCACCTGGTGTTAACAGATATGTATATTTATATATATATACAGGGCTTGACATTAACACCCGCAAAATTCAGGTAGATTTCAGCTGTGGCAGGTAAGCCAGCCTATCCCACTAACCACTCAGGCTGGTTGAAAATAATTTTTAAATTGCAGTTTTCTTAAAAGCAGGGTTCGACAATAGAGATGGAATAATATGCGTGCAAATGTGATCTTAGAATCGAGAAGCAGCATGATAAAAAGAAAGCAGGTAAAACCGAATGAGAGGATATCACTGGCGAGCACAGGTGATGTGATGTGTGTGAATGTTTAAAAAGCATGTACACTCCTATTTCCTGGCGTGAAGCAACCGGGCCTGGAATTGCAACTGCTGCGGTTGGTTCTTTTCGAAATAGACTGCACATAAAGGGATGCTTGTGCACCCATAGTCTTGCTGCTTTCAAGAGCTCCAGATGTTTTGAAAAAATTTCTTTTTTTTAAGCAGCAGCGCTTGCTGCTTTGTCTTTAACCATTATTTGAACAGATTATGGCCCTAACGTTAACCATGTGCGTGTGATCATCCTTTCATTATCACACACGGTATGATTTTCACCTGCTTTCTTTTGCTTACAATTATTTTTGTTGATATGGATTAATTATCATTTTTTACAATAACATTGCTGTAATGGGAGATACACTCCCAATTTATGTGTAGTTAACTGGTGATCTGGGACCTTCAGCCAGGACAGATTATTATACATTGTTTTAGATACATGGCAATAATTCTTCTTTTAAATGTCAATTTTTTTTTTAAAGAAAGTTTTTTTTGTATAAAAAGAGCATTTACTGTATACAGCTATATTTTGCTTGTTTTGACATAGTATTTATGTGTGGCTAAGAAATAATGTTTATTTATTTAGTGTGGTCAGAGATAAATATGATAAATCTTTAGTGTTGAGCCCTGAAAAGTCATGTGAAATAAAAACTAATTGCTATGCGACACTATAAAATCATAATCCATTTGCTCATGCTCATTGAGCAAGTTCATACAAAAAAAAAGGGTGAAATGAATGAGGGGGCATGTAGACATACCACAAAGTATAAATCAAGTAATTTTAGCATGTCAAAGTCAAATTTATGCATATAAAATATATTTTCCCAACAACAAAATTGTGGCTAGTGAAAATGGCGAGTGGCTAGTAACGTTGGAAATCTACTAGCCACATTGACTGGTGATCAAAAAAGTGAATGTCAAGCCCTGTATATATGTATATATTATTTAATATAAACTGGAGTTTTTTTTTTGTCAAATCCATATTTGGACAACAGTAGTTCTACATGGGTAAATGGACATAGTGATAGCCAATTTAAAATGGGATGGGACATCTCAAAAAGTAATACATGGCCAATGTATTGAAATATATCATTAAATTAAATAACTAATAGATTGACCACATGTACCTGTGATCCTGGACCACAAAACCATTCGTAAGTCTGTAAATCCATTTTCTTTCCTTTTTTTTTAAATCTTTTAAAATATTCAGAAAAAAGTGCTTACCAATGCATATTACTAATCAAGTTCTTATACACTTACATTAGGAACTTTACAAAACAAATTCATGGAACATGTTTTTAAAAAAACTTTATATATATTCTGATTGGACTGTCTTGGTAACAGACATTTACCTACAGATTACAACAATTTTTAAAATGGTATGTGTCTGTGTATAGGAAAAGACTTGTTCAGCTACCTAAAACCTAAAAATGATTAAAGGTCCTGTGAAATTAAAATAACGGTTTTTAGATGTGAGTATTAGTATGTTCATTTTAAGGATATCTATAAGCTTCTGTAGTGTGCTCCCAAAAAAGTGGCAAAATTTGCATTTAGAATGTAAAACTGATATAAACATCCAAAGATTTGTCACTTCTGCCTTAATGGATAAAAGAGCTTTTTACTTCAGTTTCCCATCAAATTTTGACCAATCAAATGCTCTCTAAAATCTGACATCCCTGACCCTGTTTAAGGCCCCATTTACACTAGTGCATTTTAGTTTTAAAACGGAATTTTAGAATGAAAACGATCCGCGTCCACACTAGCGTTTCACCCAGCATTTCTGAATAGCTCTCCGTCCACACCAAAATGCTGAAAACGCACATCACGTGACCACATTCACACTCTCTGGCATGCGCTGCAGCCTATCTATAGCCAGATGAGAGCTGTGCTCGGAGTGCTCATCAAGCATCTCCCGCTGGATCTAATCTCAATATATTTGTTAAACGTGATATTTCATTCATCTTGTTTTCTATTTCTAACGACATATTCCCCAACTTTGGTCTTTTGAATCTATTACTTGTTCTCAGGTAATGTGTTTTTTCAGATGTCTCTGTTTTCCCCTATCCACACTTAGATGGAGCAGCAGCGTTTTAGAATGAAAACGGCCTCTTTAGCGTTTTCAAAACGCTCCGTTTTCGGTGCTTGAAAACTCAGGTGTAGTGGTGACAGATGGTGTAACCATAGCAAAACTTTTGCTTTTTAAAACTAAAAGGCATTAGTGTAAACAGGGCCTAAGACGCTTCTCATTTGCTTTTCATTTGATACTCTTGATCTCAACCTCTCTTACTGGCAGAACTGTGATAAAACAAAATACTATTGGCACTGTTCACTTTTCAGTTGAGCTTACACCAAATATCGAATAAAAAATCCACATTTCAAAGCACTTCATGGAACCTTTAAGGTGTTTATTACCTAGAGTCAACTTTTCCAGAAAGTTTGCTTAGACAAACCATTTTAAACTCCTGAAAGGAACCTTGTTAAGTTTTCTTTGAAATGATGGTACTCCAGTTTGTTCTTCAGTTTCACTTAAATAGTGCTGTCTTTCTCATTTTCTCTCCACAGGAAGAAGGTGATCGTTTGACTCTAGCAGTGTGGTGCCTGAACCTTACCCACAATCCCACACCTCTTCCTGTTTGTGCGTCTGTGCTTACGTCTGTGAAAGGAAAGGGGGCGGGTGGGAGGGGAGGGGATGGGGTCGAATCTAAAATCACATATATAGAGGGGTGCGGGATAGAGCGGAGGGATTTTAATGTGC